TTGTCCTCTCTGCGCTGGTACCCGAGCAGATCTGGGCGCTCACGCCCCAGGCATCACTGCTGTCCTGGCACCCAAGGTCACAGTGAGTTCCTGGCACCCTCCGCTGGCATGCTCAGCCGGGGCACCCGTGGCACCATCTCCTGCATGCAGGGGAGGGGGCATCCCTGGCCAGGCCAGCGTGGTGGGAGCCCCCCACACCGGGGCCTGAGGGACGGAGGAGGGACATGTCCCGGCTGTGCTGGGGAGCGGGTGCAGGGCCTCGCCATGGCTGTGGCTGTACTGGCTGCCCTCCCCCCATAGGTGGTCTGTGGCCCAGCTCAGCTGCACACCCCCTCCAGCGCCCAGGGGAAAGGGGTGGGCTGTCACCCTGGGCCACCGCGAGGCTGCCCAGGACGGCCACAGTGAGAGCAGCCGGGCCTTCTGACCCACACGGTGCCCAGCCCGCCTGTCCCTGCTCTGCTCCTATGGGCTGCCAAGGACGCGAGCCCCCCCCCGGCAGCGTGCCAGGCCTGGCACACTCAGCTCTGATGGTGCTTTCTCTCTGCAAGCAGGAGCAGAGCCAGACCCCAGTCTGGCTTCACTGGGGCTCCCCTCCTCTGCTGGCCCCGCTGCTTTCTGTGAGCATCCCAGTAATAAACTTGTGATAGGCACCCAGTTCTGTGCCCTGCCTGCCTGCAGCACCTCTCCCGGCACGGCCCCAATTGCCCCTACCCACACACTGTCCACCAGAGCAGGGCAGCTCCAGTGCCATCCCCAGACCATTCCCCATGGCAGCAGTGGCTCAGGGAAACCCCAGGGAGGGCTGCTCAGGGCAGGTGCATGAAAGCCAGACCGTGGTGGGTGCCTCTGCAGGGGCAGAGGGCACTGGGGAGATCGTTGGGTACTGGGGAGCTGTAATAAGAAGGAGATGGAGCCATGGCTATAGCAGCGCAGGTTTATGGGGTCTGGCCTGGCGCGTTGTGGGTAGCAGGACGCAGCGACATGCTGGGCACAGAGATGGCGTAAGCTACAGGGAGAGCTGGGTCCCACGGGGCTGGCGCTGCCTTGGTCCAGCTCAGTGCCGGAACTGTGGCACCGCGGGGGGGATGCGGATGTCCTGCCCCTTCTCCAGCCGCCGCTCGCAGTCAATCAGGTAGTTCACACCATCTATCACCAGCTGCACCAGCTCCACCTGCACCAGGAGCACACACGTCCTGACTCAGGGACTGTCCTGGGGGCCAGCAGGGCACCCACTGGATGCACGGTGCACAGGGCAGGTGCTGCCACCCCCGGCCCTTTGTGCTGGCCCTAGCACATGGCTCTGAAGCCATTTGGGTGCCACAGGACTGTCACACACATGTGCTCCAGAACCTCCCTCCCCAAAAGCAGCTCTGCCCAGCACCCACCTCCGATTTCCCCAGCCGGTCCAGGTTGGAGATGTCAAAGATGCTGCCAGAAGCTGCAGTGTCCACACCACCTGTCCCACGCTTTTGTAGCCGGAGGTTCTCCAGGATCTTAGGGAAGCGGCTGTCCTGGTGCCCAGAGAAGGTGTTGGTGCTCAGCAGGACCATCAGCAAGGGAGTCAGGGCTCTGCAGCCCATCGCCCCCTTGGGCAGCCCCCCCTGCCGCTCACAGGACCCTGTCACCCGGCTCATAATC